TTGGAGCCTGTATGTTAATAATAATGTATGCCTCCCAATCCAAGTTTATTCTCCAGTGCTTCATAAAAATAAATTTGCCTTTTATTTTAATGAGAAGGCTTCACAGTATTACATTACTGTTTTGGTCTGTATTGCATTGCAATGCAAACACTCTAACAAAAGAAAAGGACAAGTGGTTTCAGAAGGTGGATGGAAGGAGGGATGATAATGCAGAATTAACACAGAGGGGAATATACAGGTCATTGTCACAAACGTATTACTGTAAATGTTGTTGCTCTAATTTTTTTAATTAATTTGAAGACAGACTCAAATTATACAACTTCATTGTCTAAACTGTTGATTTTGACTCTGGAGTAATTAATAAGTTTTGTTAAGTATTTATTTCTGCAATAAAAGTATTTCATCAAATCCTGGGCAATAGTTACTTAGATGAGAAAAAAATAAACTAACAAAAAACTGAGCAAAAAGACAATAAAAATGACCTATATTTCAGTATTTGTTTGATGGTTTAACTTAAACTTTTGATATACAGATTATTATTTTGTAACAAAAATGCTACTTACAAGCAAGTACAAGCTTGATTTTTATGTTTTCAAACAGGCATGATGAAGAGATGACAATTAGAAAAGAGACAATATTGTATTATAAGTAGGGATGATAATTATATTTTACTAAACACTATTTAATCCAAATGATTGATCTAAAATCTTAAACTTATTTGGCAAATGGCTCTAATAAAAGAAGCCTGTTAACAATTGAAAGTGCACATTATAATGTGAAAGTTCTTAAGATTTTGAGGCATAAGCCATCAATAAAATAAAACATATACTGCAAATTATGGTGTTTTGTATTCAGTGTACACCGGTGTCGGGCAAGTTTTTAAAACAAAATAAACCAGTAACATCAGCTTCCTTGTGAGATGCTAACTCAATGTTATGATTTTAGCTCTTAATTCTGGAATTCTGCCCAGCTCATGACCTTTACCTTTGCGTTGTTTACAACCAAGAATATTATAGGTCTCGATTAAAATCTATGCTCATACAATTCTCCCTTTTCGGTAACAAAATGCAACATGCATTTCACGTAATAACGTAATCAAAGAAATAATGTGTTTTTGTGTTTTGACTTTAACGCAACCTGTTCCCAGCCCTTATATATAGTTTTGGGACATCGAGTTGGCCATTACACCTACAGAAACTTTGCACCTACTTTTATTACATGCCGTTTTAAATCTATAGCCATCAATATCTAGTTGGTCCCCCTTTGCAGCTATAACAGCTGCCATTCTTCTGAGAGGCTTTTCACAAGATTTTGGAGTGTGTATTTTTGCCTGTTCATCCAGTAGGGCATTTTTGAGGTCAGGCACTGCTGTTGGACGTGAAGGCCTGGCTTGCAATCTCCATTCTAGTTCATCCCAAAGGTGTTTGATGGGGTTGAGGTTAGGGCCTTGACAAGTCCACACCAAACTCACCCAACCATGTCCTTACAGACCTTGTTTTGTGCACTGGGGCACAGTCATGCTAGAACAGAAAAGGACCTTTCCCAAACTGTTCCTACAAAGTTGGAAGCATAAATGTCTTGGTATGCTGAAGCATTAAGAGTATTAGAAATCATGGTGTTGGGTTTAATTGTTATGCTGATGATACACAGTTATACAGTATATATCAAGGCTGTTAAGCTGGATGATGCATCACAGCTGTCTTGGTTAGAAGACTGCGTACTAGATATCCGGTGTTGGACAGCAAAAAATTTCCTTATTTTAAACACAGAAAAAATCAGAAATACTGCAAGTTGGTCTTAAGGCTTCTCAAAATAAGTTTGACAACCTCAGCTTCAGTGGTCTTCCAACTTAGCCAAACACAGTGGTCAGAGATTTTGGTGTCCTGGTTCATTCAGATTTATGTTTTGATGTTCACATAACAAGTATTGGAAATTTTCCATTTTGTTCATTTGACTTCCCCTGCCACCCCCTGGAGGATGGGCTCCCCTTTGATTTGATTCTGGTTCCTCCCAAGGTTTCTTCCTTCTAGGGAGTTGTTCCTTGCCACTGTCACCTCCGGCTTGCTCACTGGGGGCTTTGGGTGGGGATGCTGTAAAGCGCTTTGAGACAATGTAATGTTGTGAAAATGCGCCAAACAAAATTGAATTGAATTGAATCATTATCCCTCCTGCATCACACTTTACAGCTGATACAATGCAGTCAGGCTGGTATCATTCTCCTGGCATCCACCAAACCCAGACTCGTCCATCAGACTGGCAGACAGAGAAGTATGATTCGTCACTCCACAGAATACATTTCCACTGCTCCAGAGTCCAGTGGCGGCGTGCTTTACACCACTCCATCAGATGCTTGGAATTGTGCTTGGTGATGTGAGGCTTGTATGCAGCTGCTCCGCCATGGAAGCCCATTGCATGAAGCTCCCAGTGCTGATGCTCCCAGCACCTTGGCTTATCACGTGATCTCGGACTCCCATATAGTTTTCATTTGTTTGTTTAATTTGTGTTTGTATGGCATGCTTTTTTCAGCTGACCTGGATGATTCCCTTTACTGGTTGACTCAATTTGCTGCAAGTGACACCCTCTTTTTTTCTGAGGGCTGCTGTTAAGGTACAAATCTAAAATGTCCCTGAGCTCAGTGATGGTGTTCAAAAGAATGACAGAAATGCCATTAGGCCCAAGGTTACACAAGCAGTAGATGAAATAAGATTAGCAGTGCTCATCATTGTGTATATGTGACTCTGATTGTAATGCGTCTGAATGGTTCTCTGAGTCAGGGACTTGGATCTGTGGCTTTCCCAGGAAATTGACCAGCTTGTGCCAACATCTGACCACAGTCAGCCATAGGCAGTTATTCTTATGCTCGATGAATCGTTGAAGGACTTCATGCATAGAAACAGAAGCCATCTTGAGACTGAAAATATATTGATAACCTCTGAAAACAGCACCGCTTATTGCTAAATTTTAATGTCACGTGCAGGTTTGGTGATAACATGACATAACTATCAATTTCATTTTGAGTGGAAACAGGATAAAACTATAACCTGTATTTAAGATAAATGCTAAATAAATACCAGCCATTTTTTGAGTAAAAAGCTTTTTTTTTTTTTTTTTAGACTAAAACTAAACATGAGCACACAGTTTTCTCTTCCTAGATCAGGTTCAGATGTACGTGAGAATATATGTAAGTTTAAGTTCAAAACGGCACTTTTAAATTCATTGTGTTCCTTAATAAATCTGTATGTCGGCCAGGGAAAATAAAACGTTAAGAAAGCCGCCTCCTGCCCGGTGCCCCATCCCGTCATACGCTCATCTGTTAAACGCACCACCCAGGGAGAGGAAACAAGCAGAGGTGCATTGTGGGTGTTCCCACCAGGCCGGCCTTGAAGCCTGACTGGAAGGAAGCAGCCTCGGAGCCTTCCCCAGCGTCTGTCCCTGCCTTTTGGGGGGGGCGGCCCTGCTGGCTTCCTGGCTTCCAGGCCCAACTGGGGAGACACAGTCCATGCACAGAGACTCTCCTCCACATTTTGCAAAATAATGAATGTAGATTCTTCCCAGAAAAAACAGAGGAGCACGGCACAATTGTGCCATTGTTCAGAGTAGGTAAGCAGAATACCACGTTAACCAGAGTCTTTATGACATTTTAATAACTCTAATAAAGGCTGTGTGGTCTCTTTCTGAGGCTTGAGAGAATTCGACTAGCCTGTCGGGCTCGTATTATGTTATATAGTATTACATGCTATAGTATCAAAGTGTATGGCGCTATATGGTTTGGCAAAAATATTATTCATAGGGAAAGCTACCATTTATCACGCTCTGCCAAAGTCCATGGAGGTACATGTAATGCCTCTAGAGGAGCACAGACACACACAGCTGGGAGGTAAAGTAAGTATAATGAGCCGCCGCCGGCGCAGAATGGACAGTATCAGCCCGGCGTTTGGAAAACACATCTCAGCATGAAACGGCACAAAGCGCATATTTAAGCGGTCGTGCATCATGGAGACGTCGCCCCAAAACCTCGGTGCCAAAAAGCACACAAGCGCCACTGGACATTGTTATACTGGCCAGACTTAATATATTTGAAATTATAATTAGCGGAGGAAATGTTACATTTGAAAGGAAGGATGGCTGTAAAATCCCCCTAGTTCAGGGACAGGCTCTTGGCATATCCATACTATGACTTTTCAGTCTTCTCTTTCTATGGGAAGGGGGATCCCTGAGTTTGGGGGGGGGGGGGGGGGGGGGGGGGGGGGGGGGGGGGGGGGGGGGGGGGAGATGCGGCTAGTTTTTACTAGAATCTCCACACTATAATAATAATAATAATAATAAATCATTTTATTTGTATAGTGCTTTTCAAGGACCCAAAACTACTTACAATAAATGATAATATTATATACAGAGTATTGTATGAAATGTATTATTGAAATGAACAGCATTGGAAAATATAAACTATAGTACAAAATAACAATACATATATGTATGCAGTATATGACTAGTAACGTAATAATGACTAGAAAATAATCAAAAACTAAAAAAAAACATAGTCAAAGTTTCATCTCGGTGATCTCAGTTGTAACCAATATCCTTAAGATTTTCCACAAAATTACACAGTGTGTGCAGTTTGCTGTGAGATTTTTCGCTAAGCATAACATTATGTTAAATTATCAAAGCCACTTTGACCAGTCCCAGGTAGCTGGTGTAAAAAAGCACATGCTGTCTGTTCCAATCAGGAGGTAAATATGTCGAATAAATAGCACCAATATAAATGTGAGCTCTTTCTTATAGTTCTTATATTTTTGTGATTATAAGGCATTTCAGGTGTTGATTGTTTTTATTCACTTCATAATAGGAATTAAATATTATTATTTTTGGTAGTAATAGTAGTATTTTTTTCTTCATTTTTTCCCGTATTGACACCATGTAACCTTTTTAATTTAATTTAATGTCCATGTCATGTTTAAGTGAATTGAACTGAAGTGAAACTTTATTTCCCATTTGCACAGGTACAGAAGCACAAGCACATTGGAATTCTTGCATGGATCCCATGGTCAAGATTTAAAAACAACAAATAAAGCCAGGGCTGGACTGGCCATCTGGCATACCGGACAATTTCCCAGTGGGCCCATGGTTATGTGGGCCAGCAAAATGTTTGGTGGGGTACCCTGCCCCCCACTTGGCAAAGTGTAACTCAAAGTCCCGGGTGGGATTTTAATCTCAGGCCTGAACAAGACTATCACATACAGAGTTACATTACAATAGAAAGTCTTATTTATGTTCTATTTATATTATATTTATTACTATTTACTACTATTTCTTGCAAGACCGACATCTCATCATATGACCCATGCATCATACAGCAGAAGACCTTGGCTTGACAGTGGATTTTGAAATGTGAAATCCTCTGAAAAATGAACACCAGCTTTCATATATGAATATGAGAAGAGCTCGTCTTCGTTCTTCCTCATACCCATGTCCTTGTCGATACTCCACTTGCCGTTATGCTACTCACAGATGGACTACCTCGACCATACTCCGACCGTAAGCACTGGTGCTGATTAATGCTCTGTGCGATAGCCTGAGTGAATTTTGACTTCTGCGAGATTCCTACTGAATGTATAGTGGCGAGCAGGGTAGATGGGGGTCAGGAAGTCGATGCTGTGAATGTCTCAGTGAAAAAGCACCCCCTCAGTCCCCCAGGCATTCAGGCTGCTTGCTGATTTACATCAGGACAGTTATCATTCTGTCCAGAAGCAGACAGTGATTAATTACTTTTGCCATTTTTGCCCAAAAAAAATTATAAAAAATTTAATGAAGACTAGTTTTTGTTCTTTTCTTTTAGCTTTTAAATAAAACAGCTCCAGGGTGGTGATATTCATTTAACCTTTTATGACAATTTCAAATAAATAAAACTTCATTTTATTTGGAATGCATGATTAGTTCAAAAAACAAACATCTCACTAATCAAGTCTTACTACTGAGAACACCCTTCCATCACCCAGAACCCAGAAATGTTTATTATTTCACATATCTTTGTAATATTCCTGCATTATCCTTTTGCAATGCATCCAGAAGCTTCTGATTTCCGGCTGTGGACAGACGTGTTACTGGTTCAGAAAGAGAATCCTGATGGATTCTGGGATGAGTCTGGTACGAGCAGGGCTGCGCTTTGTAGGCCGCCACTCTCAGCTTCACTGTCACCATGTTTCCCGCGCTGAAGCTGGATTCGTTTAAACAGTGTTTTCACAGTCATGGTGTGGCCCCCGAACACACTGCACACAACTCCAGTGAACATCTTAGACCCCTTCAGGGCTCATATTGAGTGTTGTCAGACTAGTGAGCAGAAAATGTGAGGTGACACTCCCTCCCCCCAAATGCCCCCCGACCCTCTTTACAAAGAAACATCTGTCCAACTTTTTAAAAAATGGAGGTTTGAATTCCAGCGTGATCATATTCCCTGTGTGCTCCCCCACCCGAGGCTCGCGGTCTTTCTGCTTGCGTTTCGCTGACCCGGGTGTCGGGGCGGCCCGTCCCATTTGAAGTGGAGGGTCTCCCAGGCCAAGTGGCCAGCAGTCCACCCCGGGACCTAATCCTCACCCCTGCCGATTCGGGGACCAGTGCATCACAAGTACTGATTGTCTGATATTCTTCAGTCCCTGTTATAGAGGAATTCTAGAAGGATCCGCCTTCATCATTTTACAGTAGACAAAGTCCCCACAATCCTGACTGGGAAAAGTAGATGGATGGATGGATGGGCAGACAGATGGAAAAAAAAATTCTATTTAAAAAAACAATTCTGTAAATCCCCAACCTCCTCAATCAAAGAGCAACAATCTGCACTGCAGTGCTGATGTCAATCATACAGTTAGGCAACATTAAATAAACATAAAATAAATTAATAACCACTACACATTACAGGACCTGAAAAAAATCTTCAGTAAAAATTGAAACCTGATTAAGTAATATGTATTGTTTTCTCAGGTTTACAATTCTTTTTTTTTTCAAGAATTAAATCGCTGATTTAATATAAATATTAAACAAAGATAATATTGCCATTGTTAATGGCGATGGTGTACATAAAATTGGTGAGACTGAATATGCATTAAAAGTCACAAAACACTGTATTATATATATATATATATATGTATTGATTACAGGTGAAAAAAAGAAAATTGCCAAAAGGCAACATTATCTTTGTATTTCTGCCACAAAGCAACATTCTTGTAATCCTAAAATTTGAGAGAGGGATCTTACTTGTAATAGACGTTTGATATTTGTACCAGAAGCAATACGTATTCTTCAGAGGTGCAGAGGCCTCGCACGATTCCGGCTGCACGGTACGAACCACGGAACAATGTTAAATGCAGCCTTTAAAAGAACAGGCTGCTTGTCTATCCTTTAGGTGCCTGCTTGTCTGTGATGGATTTTCCCCCCTTTTCCAAGTAAAACGGTAAATGCAGCTTCAATGAATAAAATGCTAAAATAAGCCCTGGAAGCAGCTCGAATTCCAAACAGTAAACTTTTCCTCGGTTGATTATTCTTAGTCCTGCCAGGATCCTGCTTGAAAAGAAAGAAAAATGTTAAAAAGAAAAGGAACTTTAGAAGTTAATTGCGCTGTGGTGGGCATACATATCATGCATTGTATTCGGGCCGAGCAGTATCAGAACCTGGCGGCCTCTGCCCTTGGGCCCATCTCTTACGTCCTCTATATATCTGTGGTGAAACTTTACCGCACCGGCTACATGTGAAAGTGGCAAATTAAAGACAACCAATCCATAACTGTCAGCCTTTCCACTATAGAAATCCATGCATTTCTTTTAATTACGTGTGACGTTCTCCCTGACAGCACGTGTATCAGGTTGTATTGTAACTAATTATAATCATTGTAATTGACAGTTTAAGTTCCATGTACTATATGTTGAGGGTGGGGAGGGATTCCAGCCATTATCAGAGGATTAACTGCACATGTTTAAATACTGGAGGCAAAGAATTCAAACTAGAAGATAGTTTCATTATAAGTTTTCCTCCATTATTATCATCAAAGCTGGTCTCTGACCAGGTACTGGGCTGTTGATACGTATCACTGGACTGCATCAGTTGGACTCACTGAATCACAGGGTCTTATTGAAGTTTCATAGAGTCATACTGTATGTATCAGATGTTCACACAGAAATATCACAAGGTCTTACTGAAATGTCAATAGACCTCACAGTAGTTTCATAGTGAATTAATGAAGTATTAAAGGATGTTACTGAAGTGTTAAAAGGACTAACTGAAATACAATGAAGTTTCATATATTTTCACAGAGCATTTGATACTGAGTATCCGAGGGCTTTACTGAAGTACCACAGTGCCTCACAGAATTATTCATGGCCTTATTATAATGTCACAGGGCTTCAATGGAATATCAAAGGGCCTTATCAAAGTCTGAAATATCACTGTAACATTAGTTGGTGCAATGAAAATGCATTTAGCCTGGTATGCTGCTCAGGATGTCCCCAGCCGTGTGCTCTGTGCCGCAACCTTAAGCAGAACAAGAAGATGATGGATAGATTGAATTTGAAAGTAGCGCTTCTATTACATTTAACATTGCTTTCAGAGATTTCTTAAAATTTTACTGAATGATCTATTCCTATTTTCCTGCCTAGATTTAAATGTGTCCCATAGCTGAAGGAATTGTAGTAATGAAATACAATATGGAGTCAGAAATGGTCCAGGAAAGACATTAAATAAAAAATCAATGGTTAACTTTCCCCCATATGCAAATTTTGTGTTGGACCTTATATTTTACGGGACAGGCCTCAGGTTTATGGTGCCCCTGAACTGGACAGGCAGGTTTGGAAAACGACTGGATAATGGATGGACCAACTGCATTTGCAGCTATAAATCTTACAAACTTTCCTGCCTGGATGAATGAACATAATGAATCTCAAAAAATTTAATTCCCAATTAAAATTAAATCCCAAAATATCAAATCCTTCTAGAATACCTGATTAAGTGATAGAACTAGAAATCTTGCCATTTTGTTTGAAGTTTTTGTCTTTGTCTATTATTTTGATATGGGTCCATGGTATGGCACTTCTGTGGCAGATGGAATGCATCCGACTTGTGTTCAGGATGTTCAATAAACATGATAAGTGCATATATGTTCCCTTTTTTCTTGAGTCTGTTTGCTCATGCAAAATGAGATGCGATTAATATAGATTAAAAATGAATGATATTTAATCGTGATTAATCGAAATTAATCCACAGCAACCCTGTGATTAATCTGATTTTAAAAAAATTATTGTTTGACAGCACTAATTGTGTCACAAGTGTGTCTTGCGATGTGTTGTCATTTACACGACTGAATAGAGTAATATAGGCAATCAGGGCAAACAACTATACATACACAAATTGCAAAAGCATGTAATATTTAAATAAATTACAAATCATAAGTAGGCTATACATTAACATGTAGTTTAACCTAGATAAATTAATCAGAATGACAGTAACATTTAGTTCATCCTTTTGTAAGCTGTGATTAGAGGTCAGTATTGGAGGTTAAATCCCAACACCCACATCCATCATGTATGCCTGAAGACTAAACATACTGTGCCTTGTCTATAGGAAATGTAATGGGGAAATATTAGCAGTTAACATTAGCTAGCTCGCTGATCCATGTAGAGCTGCTGACTTGTTTGGTCCAGTTAGTTTGACTGATTGCCCTCCCTTTAAAAAAAATGAAAATGATAATATAAAAGGAAACTGAATGAAAGTTTGAATTAATTTATTATGAGGCTGAGCTTTCCCTGGTGGCCTTCAGGTGTGCTATTTGTTTTTTTGGGGGGTCTTTCTCAATACCTAGAACGCAAAGATTGTACTTGTGGTCTTGGCCAAGACCGTTCTTGCTAACTTGCCTCTCAAGAAAGAACTTGGGATGCAATGAATCATGGGTTGGTCTTGTTTTGGTGAGGGTGCAACTGATGTATCCTTGATATTTGGGGTGGAGCAAGAATGACGTCTATGTACTTCTGTTTTTAATATTGAAACTGGGCTTTGGCAATGGAATATGACATAAAACGGGTACGCTAGTATGTTCAAGTATGTATATTGACAAACACCCATAACAGTCAAACCAAGGCTGTGACGTTCTGCCACATTGCATTAGGGGATGCAGTAGGCAAGGTGGACTGGTCATGTGCATACTGGTGACATTTTCAAAATCAGTATGACATCCGGGTAACTTTGGCATACTGCAAATTTCATATTTTTTACATACTGCATACCAAATACTACTTTTTGGTCTAAATCAGTATATACTAGTAGTATGAAGTGTTGTTTCGAAACCGCCAAACAGTTAAGTTTACAGTATATACCTAAGGGGAAAAGGTTTTTTTTTTCATATTTTGGCCACTATCTTCAAAATGAGGCACAGGTTAAAGTATAATCCCATTGCTCATCAACCCACTCTTAAAAAATGAAAATCCTGCTGGTCTGAGACATAATTAAGATCTCAGACAAGAATGTGGAATGAGAGGCCGAGCTTCAGGATGCTGCCCTGGCTGCCTCAGGCTGGCCTGGTTTCATGGACGCTCTGTGGCGATTTGAGCGGACAGACCATGACAGGAATTGGACTGTGTGTCATTCCGGAACCTCTTGGCAAAGATCAAATTGCCCTCTGGGTAAATCTTACATCTCTGCATAATAAGCATATCAGAAGGTGATGATACTTCAGTTACTTGGCACCATTAACAATACAGAGAACATTTTTATTTAATACTTTATAGAATACTTTATAAATTTAATTCACATTCCTAGGCACTGTTTCTTGAACTA